GACCTCCTCTGAAACTTGATCAACACAAGTCTCCTCACTCTCGTATGCACTACACGTAATAAATTATGCTTGCTTAACAAGATGGACTACATGCCATGATGCATGATGATGGACACACAGAGCTTAACAAACTTAAGAAAGTTGAGTATAACTTTCCTTCACCAAAGAACTAGGGTTTGTATTATAAAAACATTTTTCATTTATTTACTAACAAGTTAATTAGTTGTTAACATGAAAAGGATTAACTTAACATGGACCAGCAAGATTAACATGAAAAGCATCTACAAAGCATAACCACTTACTCAACTATTGTATACAAGGAGCAATCAAGGCTTATATACATGCATCTACTAATTAAGCATTTAATTAAACCTTTTATTTATTTAAAACAAGTTGATGATAAGCATATCATGGAAAGGAATGAAGTTGCCAAGGAATAATAGGGGTTTGAGTGTCCCAAGGTCCACAATCAAAGTATAAAACTCACCATAGTCATTTAAGTATTTATATAAATCATTTTGGTATTTAATAAATAAAGAAAAGGTATTTTAACACATGTAAATTAATTAACCAAGTTACAATTATCAAAATAGTACCAAACTTTTTTATAAAGGGAGGTATTAGCATGTAAAGCATACACAAAAAGTTTCATGATTAAAGCATAATTATTTTAGCCTAAAAATCATAAAATGTCCATTTATTATTTAAAAGATGTAATTTTTAAGCATACCAAAACTAGTGAAAATGACCCGTTCATATTTTTCCTAGATAGAGAACAACATAACAAGGCTAAAAAAAAGTTTCACAATTTTATCAAGCTTCTATAATTAGTTATGAAATAAACAAGATTCGACACTTTTAATCATTTCTGAAAAAAGATAAAATCATTTTTTGCGCCTAAACTTTTCCCACTCATCCCTCTCTTACCCACAGCCACTGATCGATGGGGCTCGGGTCAACCCTGACCCAGCCCGGCATTGACCGCAGCATCGCCGGCGAGTAAGCCGCGCAGCTCACCGCCGGTGAGCTCTCCGGCAACGCGGACTGCACGGACGTGCTCCCCAACCTCCCCTGCACACAGCCATGCTACCGAACGAACGAATTAGGGCACGGGGTGTGCGCAGCCGCAGCCACGGCGGACCGGCGGCGCACGGCGCGGCGGTGCTTGGCGACGGCAAGGTTGCCAGCGACGGGAAGGTCACCCACACGCTCCCCACACTCTTGCGAACACTACTACGGTACTGGTTGATCGAATTAGGGCTCGCAGCGTCCCCGACTATGGCCATGGAGGCACGGCGGCGCGACACACGGCGGCACGGCGGCGCGGCGTTGGTCATGGCGCCACGGCCCCTAATCGGCCTAATTAAAGCGGGCTACGCGTTGCAGGTGCTCACCGTGACTTGGTGACGCGTGCAGGTGAAACAGAGGAGACTCGGACATGGTTGCCGACGGAGAGGGTGGACGCGGTGCTGTGCGATAGAGATAAAAAGGAAGAGCCGATGAGCATCACGGAATAGCAGGGAAGCCAAAACGGAAAAAGATGAAGGAGGGAGATGCAGCGGAGCGAGCTGGCCACAGTGAGGTGGCTCACGGCGGCGCTCTAGACGCCGAGGAGGAAGACGACCACGTCTGGCCGGCTCCGGTGGCTAGAGCAGACGCGAGTGGGTCGAGCGGATGCGTAAGGTGACGGCGAGGCTGGGTGCAAGGCGAATTGGCCAGGAACGCCACAGTGGCGGAGAAATCGCCGGCGCGGCTAGAGCTTGGCGGCGGCGCTGGAGAGGGAACAAAGCGAGGACGCCGGCCGACTCCAGGTTAAAAGGGCGAGGGCGAAGCGTCTCGGCCTCCAGCTCCTGCTTGCGACACGACAGGGGAAGCAGCTGCGCGTCAACACACGCGAGGGCGGCGGAAAACGGTCGGCGGGCGTCGGTGGTGAGCAGCTGCGTCACCTGCTTGCCAGAGACGCTGTTGCCAACTGAAACTCGATCTTCATCTCTCCTTTTTCTCCAGATTTCTCGTAGTGAATTGAAAAACTTCCTTACTACGGATTGTTCATCTAAGAGAGATCTCCAACTTTGGTCTAAGGCTCAATCCCAGATTCTCACTGGATTGAGAGATCAAGAGAGAGGAACAGAGGTACCTTCAAACTGATCTGCAGAACTTTCAGTTACAGTTTTTCAAAAACAGTTTTGTTAAGCAACTTTGGGGAATTAATTAGAGACTAAACATGATTCAGTCATTACAGCTAATTACACATTAACAAAGCTTAAACATTACACCAAACAATGCAACAAAAGTTGGATAAATTTTATTCATGGAAACTCATTTAATAAATCCCCAAAGTTTGAACTTGAAAACTGATATTCAGTGAGGCAAAAAATGGCCAAGTTTGAAATTCAGCCTTAAATTCAATCTTTGAGTTTAATTTTAAACATTTTTAACTTATAAATATCACCAAACTTTGATTTCATAAGAAAGCTCACATTTAACACTAAAAAGTTTATTTTAACAAATTTTACTTGTTTAAACAAATTCACATATTTAAATTCACAAAGATCCTTAAGCATTAATATTGACATCATTTCATGCAACATATGAAACACCACTTATGCAACATGAGTAAGCTATAATTGAAACATGAGTTGCATTAATGCCACAATGCCTGATGATTATGCACCATGATGCTCATGATCAAGTTTTAATTGCTTTTTAACAAATGATATGTTACAGCTAGGGGGAAGTGAGAAGGAGATATGCGGACAGGGGCAGCGCACGGGAGCCTTGGGTGGTTGCCGGCAGTTCGGTTCCAATTGGTTTCTCGGTTCGGTTAGGGGCTAAAACCGAACACCGAACCGATCACCAAAGTTTTCAGAATCTGGAAACCAAATCGAACTAATAAACCGAAAAACAGACAATTCGTTTCGATTTCGGTCTGGTTCGATTTGGTTCGGGGTTCGGTTTTCGGTCTAAAAGTACCCAGCCTGACTTGGGGGCTTGGGGCAGACAGCTTCTTCACGGATCACCGCAGTAAAGTATAAATACACCACACATCCCCTGCTGCTTAATGCGACTATTCGACAGTTTGTACTCCGAGAGAAAATCCCCAGTATTTTGGATGGGTTGCACGCGCCGATCAAACAATTTAGTAAAAAGCTTTACTCCCACACGCAGAAACATAAATTCGGAGTTTCCAAACCTTTTTTTTTCTTTTATAAGTTGCTGACTTGTTAGTTGTTTGGTGGTGGTGTCTCGGCCTCTCACGGTAACCTTCAGAGTTCAGGCTCAGTATACAGTTAATTAACGGGCTGGCAGTATGGCACTGTTAGCCGGCGTTCCCTTGTCGCTTATCGCAGCGAGACCCAGTCAGCGCAAGTCAAATCAAATCCAGTCGCAGCATCTGTCTCTTCCAGTGCAATCCAATCACTGCCACTGCTGACTGCCCTTAACTTTCAGCCCGCCGGCCCGGATTCTTGACCTTTCGAAGGGTAGGGACCCTACATAAATATTTATTCCCTCCTCTCTTTAAGGGTACCCGGTCCAGGTGCTCCGGCTCCTCATGCCTTGGTCCTGTTAGACACTATTGAGACTGTAGGTGCTCCCAGCAGGGCTCCGGCTCTTTCCAATCTCCGCTACGAAACCGACGGAGCCGGAGGAGCTACGTTTTGGAGGCTCCGGCAGCTCCTCCATAGTGGTTCTACAGCAGCCGGAGCCGGAGCCCCCTCCAAACGGGCCTGAGGGAGCATACACCGTCGATCGGGTGCCTGCTTGATGCTACAAAAAATTTGCAGTAAACTGCACTCAACAGTCAACACTCCCAAGACAGAGAGGTAAAAACCGAGTGATCCACGCCGAGCAGCAGCATTACTATTATTTTCACCGTATAAGGAGGAGCAGTAGCTAACTTGGCACCAACCAGTGAATGAAGCCAAAGTGAGATTTTGAAATACTGACATTATCCTGGATCTATCTAGTAGCGCTGGACCGACGTAGCCAGATTAATTGAGATTGGTCGATCAGTCACAGGTTCACAGCAGCGCGCATGCAGCACCGTACATCATGCATATCCGTCTGACGATTATTGACGAATGGGCACAATGATCACGCAGGCAAGTGGCGTTGGCGGTCTCGCCCTCGCCCTCGCCCTCGCCCCTTGGATCTTTTTTTCTTTTGGATGGACGCCGCCTTTCGTTGTCGCCGATCTACGCGACTACGCCAGCTTCACTCACACCCGTCGGTCGATTCAGATATCGGAGACTGGGTAATTAAGGGGAGCTAGCTGCTGCTTCAGTTTCAGTCATACATGCGAGGCCGTGCAGCGTGGAGCCGTCGAAGTGTGGTGTGGAGCCAAGCCATGCATGCATGCATGCAACATCCACGGTGGTTGAGACGTCAAGCTGATCGATGCAGCTGTTGAGAGCATGTGACTGCAGGCGTTTGTGTGGTGCGATCGTTCCATTCCATCTCCGTCTCTTAATTCTGGTCGCGTTCTTGCCCGATACGGTATGTACGTGTCAGGTCGTCGCCGTCGGACTGAATTATTCCGAGCCAGCCAAGGACGACGTACAAACCGACGCCGTCCTTCTACCTATTCAGGGCCGGCACTGCCTATCTGAGGTAAAAAAAAAAGGTTCAATAGTGTGTCAACTTAGTACTCAGTAACTGATTTTTTTTTATATAGAAAAACTCAGTAACTAAGCTCTGACACGCGACCGAATACGCCTGGCCTGATCCAGGCCCACTTCCCTGCGAAATCTTTGGATTTTCAGAGGATTCGAAACTTGGGGAGCTAACGTTTGGCAGGCCTAGTAGCGCAATCCGGGCTTCGGAAGCCTCGAGGCGGCCCATAATGCTGGCTGCTGGGCCGGCCTGACCAATTGATGGGTTCTGCTTCTGCTTTACCAATCAATCTGGCTTGAGAGTCGCCGGCGGTTCCCCCTCCCCGATTTCTCCACCGATTCGGCCGGCGGGAGTCTCCGCAGGCTCGCCGGGATCGCGGGTCCACGATGGCGGCCAACTTCTGGACGTCGTCGCACTGGTAAGCCCCCCGGCCTCGTCGCCCCCTCCTCCCCGTTCGCGCCTTTCGATTTGGTGCCTGATTAGGGCGGTGCTGCTGTTGTTGCTGGGATGTGCAGCAAGCAGCTGCTGGATCCCGAGGATGTGGACCTGGTTCCGGCGGCGGACCGGGAGCGGGGCATCACGCCGGAGGAGTTCCGCCTCATCAAGATCCATATGTCGTTCCGTGAGCTCCTATCCTTCCCTCCGCTTTTCCTGACACCTTGCTCTAGCGTTTCCCGATGTGAGTATGGCCCTGTTTGGTACAGCTTACCTGGGAAGCGCTTCCTAGATAAGCTGTACAAATAGAGCAAAAGCGGCGATCAAAATAAGCTGGTCCGATCCAGCTTCTGCTTTTTAGTACAAATGGGAGCTGTGTGAATAAGCGTGGCCAGAATAAGCTGCTGAAAAGCGTGGCGTTTGGCCGTTGATTTCAGCTTATTTTGGCCATAAGCAGCTTATAAGCTGTACCAAACAGATCCTATGTGAGCCAGCTTTAGATTCTAGCTTGCTTCTGTACAGTGTACTAAAAAAAGTCATACCAAACTCACTGTGTGCTGTTAGATGTTAAAACTGCTAGTCTTTTATGGCCTTAGGCGTATCAAATGTAGACTGATCTGATGTTCAAACGATTGCCAGTATTCCGCGACTGTGACAAATAACTTGTGTATATGTAGTTATACCCATGAGCATCCTGTGCTATGTTCCTTTGTATCATGCAATTTTATGTGACGCTAAGATTAAATGCCTGCCTGCCGTTTCAGTTGAGAAAGGGAGAAAAATACGATGGTTTGCCCCTTGTTTTTACTCTACTGATTTCAAACAAACAAGTTCACGTCCTTGTTTATGTTATACCTTTTTGGTGATGGGAAATTTTGCAATCCTTGCTTTTATTAATTTGGCACATTGTTCATTTCCATACACTTACATCAGTCATAGTATCTCACATTTTCACATGATGGATGTCCATTTTGCATTAGGACACATTGTGTCATCTTGGATGCCTTACCAATACAAGCATTTGATGATTTCAGATATCTGGAGGCTGGCACAGCAGGTTAAAGTGAGGCAAAGGTTAGGCCTTGTTTGCATAACCTGATTTATTTTCTTCTTTTGTACTGATAAAAAAACTTGTTTGTCATCTTGATTTCTTACTATATTTTGCACTTGGCATTTTTCCTTCTACATCTTGTAACTTATATAGATGCTAAAAGAATTAAAGAACACATCATATAGGTTGTTGGTTTATTAACTGAAAATCAGCACATTCAGATGTTTAGTTACTGGGGATGCAACTTCGATTGGATCTATGTTTACTTTGGGGATGTCACTTCTTTTCTGTATGCTTCTTCTTTGGGGCAATTCTTTGCAGTACCAGGTTGAACAAAGCTTCAGAGATGTCACGAAGAGAATCTTCAGATTTTCGAACAAGATTTGTTTTGCTGTGGTCATACTTAAACTTACTTGAATTTTCTTTTTGACTTAATGAGGAGCATCTTTATTATTAAAGATTCCCTATCCAAAAACCCAGTGCAGAACATTGGAAAAGGACGGGATACTATCCTTCTCAAAACCCACCTTTTTATATCCCAGTCCCAGTCCATATCACAAACCCATGGTGCATCCAAACTCCACCTTAGTGTTTGTTCCTCCCCCATCATTTTGTCCTTGATGTTCCTACTCCAGGTGCAATAATCAAACTCTGGCATCATTAAGAGAAAGATGAGCTTCTCAAATATAATTCTTATGTTACCGTATGCCCATCGACCATATGAGTGCAACAGTACTTACAGGATTACTGTAAAAAGTAATATTGAGTGCATCTCAAGTCTCAACGAATTAAGTTTTCACATAACATGCATGTTATATCCTGTCTTTAGCTTGTCTGCCAAGAAGCGATCTTTGTGACCTTAAACTGTTGTTATTTCAGGGTTATAGCTACAGCAGTCACTTACTTCAGGCGTGTGTATACAAGGTATGCTTCTCTATGTCAGGAGGATACACTGCATGTGCATCTGTGTTCGTATGCATTGTAGAATTATCACTTCTAAATTCAAATGATGGTCTTACTACTTAGAGGAAGGAAACATAGTGTTATTACAAGATTTGTAGAATTGTTTCCTAATTTTTTTCAACTGTCCTCTAGTATGGTAGTGCTCACCTCTTATAACTGTTTAACTTGAAATAAGAAAACCATGTCCGAAACCTAATCTTCTGACATCATTAGCTGGGCTAAATATATCCAGATTTTATCATTTGTTTCTATATATTCTCCTGAAAAACATTGAATTAGTTTTTCTAGTGGGGCCTTGAATCTTTTGGATGTGTATATTTTGTAGTGAGAATTTTGTTCTAACACGAATTTTGTTTCCAGGAAGAGCATGTCAGACTATGATCCTCGTTTGGTTGCACCTACCTGTTTGTATTTGGCATCTAAGGTGGAGGAGAGCACAGTGCAAGCCCGGCTTCTTGTCTTTTACATAAAAAAGATGTGTGGTATGTCTTATAACCATGTTTATTGGCATATTTACATGGAAAAACTGCTGTAGACGACCTTTTCTCTCTCTCCCTCTCTTCAAAGTGCAGGTTCCGATGACAAGTATCGGTTTGAAATTAAGGATATTCTTGAAATGGAAATGAAGCTTCTGGAAGCTCTTGACTATTATTTGGTTGTTTTCCATCCATATCGTCCTCTCTTACAGTAAGAATCTGTTTCCTGTGTAATCGCTGGTGTTTTTTTGTGGAACATACCTTTCTCATATCTCCCTAGCTTTCGGTTATTTGTTCTAGTGGAACTCCGAGTTGATAGATGCCCTATCTGCAGGTTATTGCAGGATGCTGGCATAACAGATCTGACACAATGTGCCTGGTAAGCACTGCTTTTATCAACAGCATGATTCAGTGTCAACAGTTAAGGGGAAAAGGAACTTTTATTCTGCTTAGGAACTTTTATTCTGCTTAGGACTTTTATGCTATTGAAGCTGAAGCCTAGGCTCTTGGATGTTTTTGTTGGCCCAAACTTGGACTTTCGAAACATTGTCACATGAGTAAACAAGTCAGAGCAAGATAACTACCCTCATTCCTTGCAGGGTTTATTGACATCAATAGTTTAAGTAAGACTAAGTATTTTGCATTTGGTATGGAATACCCTTGGAAGCAAATACTTATATCTCTTCAGAGTTTCCTTTCTCTTCCTTCTGAATTTGGCCCAATTCGGCAGGGCTCTGGTTCCTCCTAAAAAGGCTTCGACTCTGGCTTCTCTTGTGGAGCTACTTCTCTGGTGGAGCTGAAGTCGTTTTGGAAAACGTTTGGCAAAAACGGCTCTAGTGGTAGTTTGTGAGGAGCCGGGAGAAGCCACATTTTTGTGGCTCCAGCTCCTCTGGGCTTCATTTTGGCACCCCACCGTTTGGCATGGCTTCATGGCAGGAGCCAGAGCTGGAGCTGGCCCTGTGCCAAACGCTAGTGTGATACGCACAACAACATAAATTGATTCACCTAGAATTGTTAGTGTTAGTTTTAGGATGAGTATCTAATTATGGGTGATATTGTATGCTCAGTCTTCAGCTAGACCTGTTGGTTGTTGTTACATCTTCTTTTCTTTTCTTTTTAAGAAAAACGACCTTTTATGACTTGCAGGGGCCTTGTTAACGATACATACAAGATGGACCTTATCCTCATATACCCTCCCTACATGATTGCACTGGCCTGCATATACATAGCAAGTGTTCTGAAAGACAAGGACACCACAGCATGGTTTGAAGAGCTCCGTGTTGACATGAACATAGTAAGCAGTTCTGTTGTTGATTTCCCAGCTATTTATTCTGTATTGTTTTCTTCACCCAACTTTGTGACTTGCAATTCCCAGGTTAAGAATATCTCTATGGAAATATTAGACTTCTATGACACCTACAAGATTGATCCTCAAAGGGGCATCCCTGAGGATAAGATAAGCCCCGTGATGAACAAGTTGCCGGCGAAGGCTTAACTCAGATTTGGCGTCTATTCAAGCTTTCTTAGAGTGTAAACTAGTAGCAAGCTACATCACACTTCCACCTGTGTGTGTATTGAGCCTGCACTGTTGCTTGTGACGTGTTGATGAACTACCTGTTGACAGAACCCCAATGGAATTGTTTGTGTATGCTGCTGGAGTGAACTTCAATCTAGTAGTATCTGCATCTTTTAACTATTTTATTACAAATGTTGTTCGAGGGTTCTTGATCCATTCATATGAAAGGTGCTACTTTGTGTTATCTGATGATGTGTTGTAGGCCTTTGGCTGTTAAAATCTGCATCGCTAGCACCGGCGGTGTGCACGCGGTTGTTTAGGCCTTTGGCTGTTAAAATCTGCATCGCTAGCACCGGCGGTGTGTGCACGCGGGGAGCCCATAGAAGTAACAGACAAAAGACTTACAAGCCATCAGATATGTAGTATTAGGTTATTTCCATAGTGGATTGGTGTAGGCCGTAGATAGGAGGCCACACTAGCTTAACGCCTCAGCCAAAATCTTTCTAGATGCCAGAGAAGGCGCTCAGAAAATAGTACGACTATACACTATACAGCGCCAAACAAAAGCATCCAAAATACTAAATATTTCAAGTTGCTATCGTCATTTTAGAATGAAGCATATCCCAGTTACACTAATCCACTAGGGCAATAACCTAATACATACAACACCACAATAACATTCTGAAACCATGGATGCAATAAGAGGCGAGAAAAACTGAGGCTGATATCCACTTCCCTAGTCAGGAAGTTTTCATGATGCGTCCTGGTGATGCAGTTAAATGATACAGACTAGGATGAAACATCTATCTGCTGTTCACCCTAAGAACTTCTGATCTTCACTGTACATCGCACAGCCTTATGTTACCAGAAGTTTCTTTGACAAAGCCAATCGACCTGTATCGGATAACAAAGAGGTTAAGCTAATTGCCCCAAAAGTTTACTACAAGCCATCAGATATGTAAAGCAGCTCACCTTAACTAGAAGCCTTTGGAAGGTAAATACGATGAGCGCTATTCATTTTCAGCCCCTTCCTGCAAGTAGGGCATTTCTTCTGAATCTTGATGGCCTGCTTGATGCACATGTCGCAGAAGACATGGCCACAAGTCGTTGTGGAAGGCTCCTCCATCTTATTCCAACATATTGGGCAGGTAAAAAATGGTTCCTTGGGGACCTCCTTGGCAGGCTCTTTGCCAGTTTGTACGGCATTTGACTATCGAATACAAACTCGTAATTAGAGTTCAATGCGAAGAGCAATGTAAAAGCAATTGGGGCAAGCATCAAACACAGGGCAGCCTTTTTGCTGAAATTTTCGAAATGTACTCCAAAATACTAAATAGCAAGCCAGTGAGTTAATATCACCTACATTACAGAACATAACATGATGCTAGAAGTTTACAACGACAGCATTTGGATAGTCATAGATATTAAAGGTTGGCAGCTAGCAAGAACGTGAACAGACCCGTATCACACCATAATAATATGTAAGTATGTGTTCCAAGACTTGGTTGGCCAAGGAAAATATGAATTTAAAACAAGCCACTGAAAGGACAAAGTTACATAAATAACATTATATGGGAATGTTGAACATGTAAGTTAGGATTGAGCATTAACAGGAAACCTTATGCACATTAAATAGCTGAAAGTACACAGATAGGTCTTCTATCAACCTAGCTTTGAAGTTGAAAAAGTTATTCCCCTCAATCAAGACTATTATTATAAAATAAATACCTGCAAGCTGGACCCTGCTCCCCAATCTGGAGTGAGGTGATGTCCTACTGGTACAACCCTCTGGCGTTTGTTCCCTGTGGAGAAGATACAGATGCATCATCATCACAAAACACATATGACTGAATGCATGGTAACAGATAGCTAGGAAATAAGATGTGTGTTACTGTTGACACACATTTTTCATGTAGGCAGCATGCAATATCATAGAAGCCAGTCAATTAAGAAATTAGAAAAATGAGAAATATCAGTCTAACGTCCAGCACAGCCTAGAGATGTGTCACCACTATCGCAGTAGCTTGTGTCCTAACTCCTAAGATGGAGTAATCTGAGATATAGTCATAGGCACATTGCAAGCACTAACCCAAATTGTTTGTGTTGTTGAATATACAACTTTTGAAGAATTTAACTGCGATTTGATATTGCATTGATGAACAAATACCATTACAAAGGCCACACCAATTCTACAAGCACAATGATACGAAGGCAGTAAACTAACCTTCCCGGCTAGCTTCAACCTCCAAGTCAACCACTGTTATAGGTTCCCTCCTGGTTCTCCTGTTCCTCCTCTGCAGAATACAATATGCTTTGATGTAAGTGCTAGCTGATGGTGCACCATATATATTAGCATAACTATCATTCATAAAAATTCTTATTAACAGGAATAACTGCAATAATAAAGAGTTTGAGAAGTCCTGTTAAAAGGCTGCTCCTTAAAAATCACCAATTGACCCAATGGCATGACACTAGCAGAACAAACAATGCTATTGAAAAGTGTAAGTACTTGTTTAAATTCAAGATAATGAGAGAATTATACTGGCGGGGGCACTCGCGAGGGCGATACTGCCTGAACTTCATCTTCGATGGCCTCCACATCAATGGGTGAGTTTCGGGCGCCAGGAACAGGGGTCAGTGGTCCTCGACGGCTCCCTGCCACCCGGGAGCTTGCTTCGAAGATCACCAATACTTTATCAGCAGACCCATCTTGCGACTGTCTCCTTGGTGCACGCCTTGTACCACTGACAGTGTTCATGCTCTCTTTGGTGCCTATACTCACCTCAACTTAACAAACCTGAAATTCATAGGCACATGGTATAGTTCCTTATCTGCTAGTCTACTGCTCTACAGTTTTTTACCTCACGATAACAACAGAACCTAGACACTGTTCCCTCAAAAAACAAAACCTAGACACTCATCCAACCCTAACAGCCTAATCACTAAGTAAGTAATAATAACTAAGATTAAAACCGCAGCAAAGGCAAAATCGTAAAACTGTAGAGTTCTACGCGGGGTGATGGGAAAAAAATTGACGAACAAGACTAACAGCTCGAAATCACGGTTCCCAGCAAAGATCTACCGAATCAACAAAGATCAGCGGTGGGGAGGCGTTACTAGAAATGAGAAAAATCGACCTAAGGACCGGGGGAATCGGCGGCGCGGCGCGGCGATCGAAACTAATCAGAAACCCCTCCCTCCCCCGCGGTTGCCTCGCCAAATCAACACCGGGAGCCGCCAACCCACGCGGCCCGGACCAAATACAGACCGTATGCATCGGGAGGGATGAGAAATCCGCACGTACCTGTCGAATCGGACCCGAGTTCGATCGAAGTATCGAACGCAGGAGTTCGTTCGAAGAGGGGAGGGGGGAAACCCGAAACCGCGACCGAACTTGAGGGGAAGGGGAGTAGTGCTTCTTCCTTTCTATTGCGTCCACTCTCCGGTGACTTATGTGATCATTATTAGCGTCCCTGGCAAGTGGGGCAGCCGAGCAAGCAAAGCCCACTTCAGGCGAGTTCACGAGGCGGCCAGCCCAAGCCCAACAAAGAGCTACTAAACGACCACGTGCGCATAATTTTTCTTTCACCGCAGGATTAAAATTCAACGGCTTTCATTCTTCCTCTACCTCCAACTTTTAACATTAATTTCCAGATAATCACAAATCAAATGACCGTAGATTACAATAAACAATTTTTTTTAAAAAAGATAAAATACAGATCGGGAGGAGAGGCCATGACCATCCATCCGATCAGAGGAGACTCTTCAGCTCTGCTGTGCGCCTGTGCCGTGGTAGCATATGGTCCGATCCAACCGCGTCAGCCGTAGACTGGACTGGTTGATTAGACGGTTCGACAGGATTCGCTTTCCAACTGTTGGTGCAGACACCGATGCCCAGCGCCCCCACCGCTGCATTTACACGTGGGTCTTAGAAGTCAATGATAAAAAAATTATTCATAGGTTTTTTATGCTAAAACACACGTGTTGTTTAACATTTCTCGAAACAAAACCCTCTAGCCACGAGCTCGGCTCCCCGAGCGGGTCCGACCTTAGCAGGAATACCAGCGAAGTTTGAGAAGCTGGTGCCGCCGAACAAAGGAGATTTTTTTATAATTTTAACACTTTTTGGAAACTAATTTTAAATCTAATATGACCGGATTTTTTTTAAACTAACACTTTTGGCCGCGCCTATTGCCCTGGCGCGGCCAAATGCCTTTGTCGCGCCATGCATGGTGGCGCGGCACAGGGCTGACGTGCCGGTAACCGGGTCTGCTGACCGTTGACGGGGCAGGGCCTGCCGCGTCACCGATCTTGGCGCGGCAGTGCCGCGCCACAGAGCATGGCGCGGCTGCGCCAAATAAAACCCCGCAGCGAGGCTGCCCGCCCACAGCCCTGCCCGCCCGCTCGTCGCCAGCCGCCTCTGCCCCGCCGCCGCGCAGCTCCCGCGGCCGCCTACGCCGCGCCCGGCCACTCCTGCCGTGCAGCGCCCGCGCCGGTCTCACCCGCCCGCCCACACCGTGCCCGGCCAGTCCCGCCGCGCAACGCCCGCACCGGCCGCGCCACGAATGCCGGCGCGTCAAGACCGTCAGCTCCTAAGGTACCTCCCTCTCGATTTCATGTTATTTTGATTATTATTATTTTAAGATAATTAGTGATTGATGATAATTAGTGATTTATGATAGTTAGTAATTTAGGATAATTATGGTTTTATGATTGTTATTGATTTATGATAGTTTGTCAAATTTAGAATACTTACTGATTTAGGATAGTTAGTTTAGTGGATTTATTTATGATTTACGTAGGTAGTTTTTAGGTTGGAGGTTGTGTGTTCTAGTATAGTTAGGAATTTGGTTTTAGAGATTGATTAGGTATTTATTATTTAGTTTATAGTTAGGGATTTTGGGTATGCCTACTAGTTTACAAATGTCGGTACTTACTAGTGCGTGATACGTCAATTTTGATGACTTCATAAAGTTTCGTCAAATGCTTATATTCCTAGTTAAGTTGTTTATGTTACAAGTGCGTGATATGTCTGTTAATGTTACTTTGAATATATACATGTGCTTTTATATTGTGTTCGTATTGCATAACAAGTAGTTCAAATTTTACAATGCTACATAATGTTAATTTGAATTTTGTTAATTTGAATACTCTAACGTTTTTTATCAATTTATAACAGGATAGCCTCACCCACGCAGCACCCGTTGTACCCCATTTTTGAGGTGGAGTACGACGACCAGCACCAAGCACATATCTTAGGTGACAATGATGCAGAGGTGGCCTTGCCTCCTTTGAGGCCCCACACGCATACCAGGGCGCACCAGTGGGACGAGCGTTACGCGCCGTACATACGGCGTGTCGGCTTCCTCGAGCTTGTCCGTGTTGTCAACCACGGTCTTCAGCCCCTTAACCCAGCACTACTTACTGCAGCTATAGACAGGTGCGAGCGCATTCTTTGTACGTAAACTTTCTTGTAACAAATTTGAGACAAATAACAGTCGTTCTATTCTTATACCAGGTGAAGGCCTGAGACCCACACGTTCCACCTACCTTGTGGTGAGATAACTTTGACCATGCAGGACGTGAAGGTTATTTTTGGCCTTCGGTTGGGGGGACTTTCAGTGACAGGGATAGTTGACAACGATCACTGGATGGACTTGGTGGCTCAGTTTACTGGCTTTCTTCCACCGGATGACGAGGCTTCCAAGAAAAATATGTGAGAGATTGAAGCTTATTTAATGCTTGCATTACTTTTCTGCAGCCATCGGGTCTCATTTTGTTTGGTAAATTTCAAGAAAACTTTCGGTGTTTCGTCGTCCTGGATCACGGAGCGCTTTGATTACTTGGACCCACAGGTTGAGGAGGCTCAGATCGACAGGTTCGCTCGAGTTTGGCTCTGGCACTTTCTTGGTTCTTTCCTCTTCCTAGACGCCTCGGGCAACACCATCAGCTGGATCTTCCTTGATATACTACGCTAGCCGTGGGAGAACATAGCGGCGTACAGCTGGGGCAGCGCAGTCCTGACATGGACGTATCGACAGCTATGCGTTGCCTGTCGTCGCACCTCAATGTACACGAACCTTGGGGGTTGCTCGTACCTACTTCAGGTTTGGTGTTGGTAACGATGGCCCGTTGGGAGGCCCCTTAATACTGGTTTACCGGTAAGTACTTCGGTTCATTATATTCTTCGATATTGTTACATATGATGAGTTTATTAGTGGCTAATTCATTATCGTGTTCAATGCAGCACTGGAACGGACAGGATACACTCCCTACAGCTCTGTTTATCTGGACACAATCAGAGTTAGTTAGAGGGAATGCGAGGCGTAAGTACAGGGAGTACACGGACGATTTCGACGTCCTGACACAGCACCAGGTTACGCTCTCTTTACTATCATACATGTGTCTTGTTCGATCTACACTATATCACAGCCCAACTCAATTACAAAATATTCAGGTGCATTGGTGTTCTTGGGATGCTCCGGAGTTCCAGTACTATCTCAGTCCTGTCACTAGGGATGAGTCAGACGAGTTTCGCTGCAACGTCCCTCTTATTTTCTTCCACGTGGTCGAGATTCATATGCCCGTCAGGGTCTGCAGACAATTTAGAAGAATAACAGGATGTCCACCACCGCTTTACTCCACCAACCAAGGATTGCACGAGTGAGTTGTTGATTAATAACAGAGCTACAATTCAGATGTGTGTGTGGTACAACCAACATCATTTTGTTGCAGGTTTGTTGCAGGTATGACCGCAGGAAGAGGTACAAGACCAAGGATTGGCGCGTGACACACGACGCGCACATCCACTTGTGGGAGACCAGAGAACGGCAGCCGGTCCATGTGGGTCCTCCACACGACCAGCACATCTTCGACGAGTACCTACGCTGGCTTCACAGGTTTACGAGGATACATATCAAGCCCCCGTACACTGAGGAAGCGATTGACGAGGACTCGGAGGAAGATGTGATCGAAGATGTGTACGACGTTGCCACTAGAGAGGACACACAGCTACAGAGAGCCCCGCTACAAAGATACGTGGTAAAATACTTGAATGGTACAATTTGTTATCCATTTGGTATTAAGTATGTATACTAAAATTGTTCAACCGCGTTTCTATACCCAGGCGACACAATTGTCGAGGTTGTCCAACGAAGTAGCGTACCGGCTTCACGAGTCTAGAGGGTAGAAACCAGGCGTTCTAGAGGCTTTTGTGGAGATAAACATAAACTAGTCCGTTCCAAAATTGTTTCTTTAGTGTATATGCGTTTAGGAAATGCACTAACTTTAACGTCTATTTATGCAGAAGGTGAAGAAGAGCTGCAGGAAGCTAGCTCAAAAGTTGAGCTGCATGGACACTCCTTATAAGGAACCGTCACTCCCAGCGCGGTCGGGTGACACGTCTTCAGCCTCTTTGAGAACACCAGCCGGCTCTTCTCAGCCGGTGACAGGTGCCACTTCCGCGGTGCGTACAACACCACATTATAGCGCTGGCAAGGACCCTGCAACCGAAGACGACGAGGACGACGACGACCAGTGGGAAGATTGGCCGCAGGACGAGATCGGCATGTCTCAGCTAGGTGGTGCCCCGCTGGGTACCCAAGGAGCCTCACAGGTACTAACAAAGGTAGTTTCTTTAAATACGTAGGCTGCATGAACTAACGATCATAAAGAATTCTAAGTAGTCGTGCATATCACATACTTGCAGGGTACGAGCCGTACGCACCGGCAACATGACCACACCGACGTTGGCTACACTCCCAATGTGTTGCCAATAAATCCAAAGAGACAAAGGCGTCCGAGGGATCCTTACACTCCTGGGTCTTAGTTTGTTAGGTCAAACTATTATTGGCGTCCGAAACTTGCAGGCTTAGTTGGTTGTGTTATGTCGAACTTATGTCAAACCAATTAAAATGTTATGTGGCAGCTTGTCAACTTATGTTATTTGCTTCATATCCGTTTCAATGCGTCGCGTCATCACGGCTTGCGAGATTAAGTAGCAACTAGTTTGGAAACCGGCAGTCCCGGGATATCTCGACGCCAGTGGCCGGCGTCTTGCGCGAGGGGTCGAGGAAGCCGGGATCCATGGTCGCGTCGCCGCAGATCCTACAATATGGGGCCAAAAATATCATTGGCTTATCAAATTCTCTATTCGGCCGTGAATAAAATTTAACAAAATATAGAAACAAATTCATTATTGACTTTACGTTAAGCAATACTTAGAATAACTCCCACTATCGGCGCGACGCGTTCCGGGATGGCGGCGGGCGCGGCGGCCAGGCTTGCTTGCTGCTCGGGCAGGCATGACTGGCAGCGGAGTTTTATTTGGCGCTGCCGCGCCATACTCCGTGGCGCGGCACTGCCGCGCCAAGATCGGTGGCGCGGCAGGCCCTGCCCCGTCAGCGGTCAGTGGACCCGGTTACCGCCACGTCAGCCCTGTGCCGCGCCATGGTGGCGCGGCACAGGCATTTGGCCGCGCCAGGGCAATAGACGCAGCAAAAAGTGTTAGTTTTAAAAAAAAATCGGTCATGTTAGATTTAAAATTAGTTTTCAAAAAATGTTAAAATTAAAAAAAAAATCACGAAGGGGCGTTTGGCGTATCCGACGGCGTGGCCGCGGTTCTGCAGGGAGGTTGAAGGCCGAAGGGGTGAACCATCGGTGAGGTACGCGTTTAAACATTTTGAGAATTGGATTCTTAACCTCTATGTTAAAATCCCTTAGGATCTAATATGTTTGGATGAGAGATTCTAGAATTTTTGAATTCTTTTTATCCAAGTTCTTAAAATCCCGTAGGATCCAAATGAGACTCTAGTCAGGGAGGGCAACGACGCATACTTTGCAGTTTGCAGCGCTGTGTCCTTCACCGACCAATTTAGGTCAAGTAATGACGACTTAGCACTAGAGTTGATGTCCTGATTTGATTCCTGGAAGGATAGCTCCTGTTTTGGCGAATTAGTTCGGTCATCAACGAGTATTTGTTTTTGCTGTAATGCTGTGCATCTTTTGCTGCAACCGTAAATAAACCAGTGGCTGCTTGCCGTTTTATGTTCTAGTACTTCTGACACGAGATAGCTGCAACAGAACAAGAGCTGATCCAGCTCTGCGTGCTATCTGATTCGTCTCGAGCCACTGAAGAGCCAACTTTTCTGCTCGTTTACCAGCCTGGACCGAGCCGAGCCACGTTGTCCATTCACTCTGTCTGGAGCTGAAGTGTTGAACGAAGTGGGAAAAACTTCCAAAAGAAGTGTGGCGTAAAAGTGAAATAACCATGGCGGCGGGCGTGGCCTCCGCGCGTGACCGACGGCGATGGAGCCGTGCTCCGGCGGGTGGCGCTGCCCGCGACGTTGGAAACGATGATGGCGAGGAGCAGCACCTCAACCCCTTCCTCGACGCTGCGCCATCCGCCTCCTCAAGAGTCCAGTTCAGGTGCGTGCTTCCTTTTGCTTGCAGATGCTCTGCCTTTTCTTTTCTGTCTGTGTTGGCTCGTCATGGGATTGTGACCTCGCTGGGTTCTGCGGATCTGGGCACAGGAATATGGCGTCGCGCGCGCGGTGTGTGGAGGAGACCGGCGCTGCGGAGGTGGTGGAGAGCAGGGACAAGCTGTGGCTGACCACCGGTGTCACTCGGGCCGGCAAGCTGTACTACAACGTTGAGGAGATCGGGTACGTACGCCAACTGTTCGATGAAATGCCGTATCTGTACAGCATGTGATCGTATACTGGCCAGCACAAATGCTGCATTTGGTGTGCTGTGCATCTAGCAGACCAGCAAAAATGCTGCACTACGTGAATCTCTGAAGCCATTTATACTCCTAATGTATTATGCATGAATTGCTTGCCATTGACTTCATTTTTCAAGAACTTGAGTTTGCTAGTGAAGGCTTATTGTCTGATGAAAACATGTAGGTTCTTGGCTGAAATAGGTGCCTTGGTTCTTCTCAGTGATAAGGATGAAACCATAGGAATTGAAGCCATCTATGAAAAGCTTGCTGGAGGAAATTATGGGTGCTCCTGGGATACTTTCCAGGCTTATAAGCACTTGAAATCGCTTGGATATATCGTTGGAAGGTTTGGTGTTCCCTGGACAATGAAGCATAGTGGTACTTGTGACACCATTGCTCCCCAGATGAATATACTTGAGACTGATCAGAGCTTAAATAAAGTTGACAGAGCCTCCAATGACATAACCAAGTTGCTCAAGAAAATGCAGATTGATGGGATATCTCCATCTTTTGAAGTTTATCTACCAAATAGCAAGTTCAAAAAGTCATCCCCAGGGTCCCCTAGTTTCCTCTTATGTCTATTAAGGTAACAGTACATTAGTACGCCTTTATCGACTCAGTTAATTTTATGCTCATAGATTCAATGCAGTTTCATTTTCCCGCAATTCATCTTCTGTGGATCTTTCAGTATTTTAGTGTAGGGTAACAGGGTCTATCTTCATTTCAGGCTTTTCTTTAATTGTGGAAATATCTATCTATAAATATGAATGCATATACAATGTTAGTATAATATCTTCTTTGGAACATGCGAGTGCACTGGTACACATGGGCCGAGTTTCATGGAGGCAAGGGTGGCTGGCATCCACCTCTATATAAATGGATTTCTTTTGCTTATTATTTGCAATGATCACCCATCTGCTAGCTATATGAACTCAATTGATAACTCAGTTGAACCTGATTGATTCTCAGTTAATTGGACTTTGTCTTGCCAAGTTGCTGTCAAATTATATAATCAATCATCATTTCTTGCCTGCATATTCTCTTTGTGTTGGTCAATTGCAACTTATCACATTTTCTTTCCATTTTTCACCATTTCCCCCAAAAGAAATAAATAGATGAAACTGAACAGGGGTGTAAGATTTTCTGCTAAGAGAGAAACTGCAAAGAACAGTGTCATGTAAGTCAAGGGTCGCAGCTTATGAATAAAACCAGCATCATAGGAATCAAGGATGATCTCATATATTCTGTTGATACATGTTTCTATAACAACTTCAACATTCTAACATATAATCCCATAAGAAAGACATTGACGTATTGATTGACGTATTGTTTTTCCAATCTAATGCAGGGTTAAACCACCCTCAAGAGTTGAATTGGAAGCGGTGGAAAATAATTTCAGAGGCATCCCTCTGAAATATTGTCATGTGGATAATGGACGGGTCAGCTTTCTCTCCTTTGATGAAGTTACACTCCCAAGCTTGTCCTGATGGGTAGCAGCAGAACATGTAAACTGTAAAGTACATAGCATGATAGCCTTCATCAGTTGGTCACAACAATTATTTTTCTTGTCTGAAGCATGGTTAATTGATCTGAAGCCTGATAGTACGTGAAATGTTCCATCTTTTGCTGAACGGGTCTTGTTGAATCTTGACCCACAAATTTATATACCCTATACCGGATATGTATCATGTATGCATGCCCAAGATCTCTTTTGTTGAGGTCGTCACTAGAACTGCCAGAATTTCTTGCGGAGATCAGTCACACAAGTGATTGCTTTTATACTTGATTGCTGATTAGCACTTGCACAATTGCAGAGACATAATTTTTTGTAACCATAGTCCCAAATTGACATGAGAAATATTTAAACTACATAAGCAAGCGCAAATTCACACAATTAATGAATGAATAATTAAATCTGTAAGGAATAAATCTGCTGATGCAAACAAAACTCAGTTGTATAAAAGTGTGATGCTGAACATTGGCGCGACAATGACCGAATACAAACCCTACAAAACAATCTTGCGGCTCACGATTTAAATCTCTGATAGTGCACACAACTTCTGGACTTCTGATAGTGCACACAGCTTCAGAACAGTGTCTTGAGATGCATTCGCACACGCAAACTTTCCTACCTATTGATTATCCCCTTGACAAGCGAACATATTAAAGTATGGGATTCTCTGTAGTATCACAATCCAGCAATTTGTTGTACAGTTCAGATTGTGTGTTGGAAGGAGAAATCATGTGTCTTTGCTTCTTGTTCACTTCTGATGATTTTGTTTCTGAGGCTGCACCTGTGACTTTCGGATTTCCAACTGTGACAAATGCTACTCTCTTCCTAGTCTCGGGCTTCAGGTGCTCGCGAGTACTAAAGGTGTCAGGAACTGAACAAGCACCGCTTTCATTTTCTAGTTGCCTCCCCCTCTGAGAATCTCCAGCATCATTGCAATGGATCATTTTATCTGGTTGCGCCGCTAGAGCAGCGTCTAGCTGGCTGGCTGGCGAGTTCGTTCCTTCTAGACTTTTCATATCTGTAATTGGTCACAAAATTGGGCAATAGAATAAAAAATAATGCTTTTGAAATTAAAGGCCATAGAACCATAAAAATAGAACTGGTCATGTTCTACATAATAATAAAAAATTGTTGTTGGAAACCTTTTGTTTTGTTCCATAAAGCAACAGCCGACTTTCAAATTAACCAAGTTATAATTATATAAATAACTAATCAAATGTTGCTCTGTAATATGCAAAACCTGGTGCATTTCAGTCAGAACCATGTTAGCTTATCATTCAAGTAGGCTATGTGAGGTTAGCATCAGAACACACGTCTGCCATATCACCATAAATCATGCCACCATGTGTGAACTGTAGCTGTTTAATATACGCTCTAATGTAACATACTTCCAAAGATTGATGAACTAGCCTCCAAAGCCAGACTCCTACCTTGGTAGTTGGCAGCTAGCTTGGGAACCATGGGAATTTTTATAGTAAAATAATTCAAAATATCTTAATATTTAATTTGAGCTATGTTCTTAGCAATGCAATAACACTACTAAGGTGCTTTCTTTTCCATCAAAATCAGCAACAAAGCACCAAGCATTGCCATGATTCATGAGCATGTCAACTAATTATGACAAAGGCAACAAAGAATTCAAGATCAATGGGTCATCATGCATTTATTGTGAAGAATAGAAGATAAAGCATTTCAACCTTCACTAATCAGTGCAAGTGTTTCATACTGGATTGGAGATTCAGGACCGCAGCACTTCTGATCCTCAACTTGGGTTTCCTGACAGATATCCTTAACCTTTTCATGCAAAATGAATTTATCTTTTACCCATACACACCCCAGAACTGTACATGCAGCATTCATAGAGGGGTAGTACTCTCTGAAAGCCTGTGGGAATAAGAGAAAGAAAAAAGAGGCAAATTTATTTAGCGAAAATCATTACATTTACTAGCAAGATCAGTTTGTGTGAAAAGTGAAAACATGGTCTCAGGCAATACGGCTTTTCCATGATATACAAAATGACATCATTGCTAGCGTGGAAGTAAAATACACCTGCACTCCACTGATGCTAATCTTAACAGCCTGCTTCCTATCAGTAAGATCGGTGACCTTATTGTATACTGACACAACATCAAGTAACATCTGTGAAACAAATACCAGAACGTCAGAGCCTACAGCAAAAGCTATGTAGGGAAAACAGAGAATATAACAATATTAGCTAGCATGTGATTCCAAGGTGACTTTACTACTTGTTAGGAGAGCACATGTCAGCAATTTCAAACCGAATTTTCTTGATACAATTAGCCATGCTTATAGATTATAACCCTCACCTGTTGGATCAGGACCCTTACTCGCGCAAGCAAAGAGAACACAGCCGTGCAAAAATCAACGAAGAATGATCTAGCAAGCAAAAATGTTATCTGGCTGTGATTTAGGTTAAGGAACTTTGGACATCTCTCAATTGCAAGAGAAATTTATATTTGTTTTCTTATGATGATAATAATGAAATGGTCAAGGAGAGACATTTATAGTTTAAAGGTAAGCCAAGTGCAAGTGCACAAGCACAACTAGCCCTATTTGTGACCTAAGAAACTATAAACAGAAACATGATATAACAAGCAAAAGGAAAAGGATACATTGCTGCCTTCATAACAGGTTCAGACATCTGCACGGGACCGAGAAAATTTTGACTGAGATTTTATACGATATTAAGTTGGGCAAAGTATGAAATCTCACTTCGAGCCTATACATAAGTCAAGATTCCAATCGCATGAAAGCTCAACAAACACAAAACACACCTGGGATAACAAGCGGGCAACACCCAAAAGCCTCTCATGATGGCTGTGGTTTGCACCAGGTTTCTTCTTAGTCTGCCTATATCAGAATTCAGAAGAAAAAAAAAAGTTTTTTAAGTAAAAATCCAAACATGCCAAGTCATAATCAGATAATAGCAAGTGGAATTTGTAAGAAGCGTAAATAGGCTGACTTGGTGGGGACGAGGATCGTGTTGGCCGGCTTGCGGCATGCGAGAACCGGGAACACGGCGTTGAGGACCTCCGCAAGGCCGGCGCCGAGCAGAAGCTTCAGGTCCCTCCTCACCTGCGCGCATAGAAACTCAACACTCGCTCAGCGCAGCGGGATGGGAGGTTTCATCAGGAGGAGGTGTAGAGGAGCGGCCGGGCCTCACCTTGAGGAGGTACTGGAAGTAGGCGGCGCCGCGGTGCTGGTTCCGGTGCTTGTACACCAGGCGCTCCAGCACCCCCGCCTCCGCCTGCAGGTGACGCAGCGCAGCCCGCAGCCGCTGCTCCTCGTCACCCTCCCCAGCAGTGCCTGCCTCCGACCTCTGCGACATGGCCGACGGCGTGTGGGAGCGGTGGCGGCGGATGTCCCTCCGGTGCTGTTCCTGTCCTCATGGTCGAACTGGGCCCGGGCTGGTGGACGTGGGAATAGAGGCCTCGTTCATAATGCGGCGCGGAATTATTTTGGGCCAAGATGGGCTGTGATGGTCCAGGTAGAGTTGAACTTTGAGGACAGATGTGCCGCACAGTATATACGGGGAAAAACTTCATTCTGCCTCTGCCGCCCTATCGTCTGATTTTTCTTCTTCATAAACTTTATAAAACCCGATATTTACACCTTGAACACTTGAAACCATTCAAATTACCTCCAGTTTGGAGTAATTTTGAGAGTGATTTTGTCTTTTTCGTTAAAAAATCGATAAATACTTGATAAAGGTTATTAAACCACAAAAAATGTCTCTATGCTTTTAAATTCAAAAAAAAAAATGGAGACATATTTTGATACTCCAAACCCAATAAAATATTCAGACCTCATTAAAATTTATCAAGACGCTAAAAATATATATTTATGGCGTGTTTGGGACTGCTCCATAAACTCCATCGTGGAGTAGCTCAAAAAAACCTAGAGTTTATAGAGTACCATTTTAAGTGCTATCACAATTCCACTTTTTTTTCCTCGAACAGGATAGGTGCAGCTTAAAACCGTTTGGCTAAAAACGATAATGCTTTGTGCAGGGCGTCCGTCTACCCGGACGCACCTTGCTGGGTATGTGGACTGACCTAGCAATCCCCTTTCTCCATCTAAAAAAACTGGTAGCATTACGATCCCCTTCCTCCTCGCCTGTTGCGGCCTTCGTTCTTATCTGTTCGTTCTGAGCCCACCGTCAATGACTTCGATGTGTGAAAGTGCATTTGTCCCCTATGTGGGTTTTGGTGTATTGATGACATCCAAATTAGGGACTAATGTGATCTTAATGAGATATGTTGCAGCTATTAGTCCCATAAAAGATTCAAAGAGTTGATAAAGATGAAATGGTATCCCTCAATTCTTGAAGTTGTAAAGGCGGACGAACTCAAAACTATCTCCAAAGGGTTTAATTTTATTTTTGAGTTTAGGATCCACCGCACTATAAAGAAGGATGCAAGTTTAGTTGGTCTGAGGAAGATAGAGTGCTCAAGCATTTAAATAAAATCAAAAGAGAGTCACTCTAGCACTTCACGCGCACTTAGAATAATTTTCTGTGTCTTTCAGTGTTGGAAGTCCCGACGTAAGTCGAAACTTCCGACAGTCGGAAGTCCCGACCTAAGCCAGGAGTCCCGACACCTGTGCTTTTGACTGCTCGCTGTCTGTGCTCGTCGGAAGTCCCGACGTTCGCCGGGAGTTCCGACACTGATCTGACCCAAGCCGGGAGTCCCGGCTTCAGCGGTGCTGGCTGTTTGTTTAACTGGGCACGTCGGAAGTCCCGACGTCCGTCGGGAGTTCCGACCGTCGGAAGTCTCGACGTTTGTCGGGAGTTCCGACACTGACTTTCACCCATGGACTTCTGACCCGTTGTGAACAGTATTTTATGTTGTTGTCGGAAGTCCCGGGATCTGCGTCGGGACTTCCGACGTAGATCTGAACGGTTGGATTTTCACTTGGAGTATAAATACTCCTCTCTTCACTTCTAACAGTAGCGACTCATTTCACAGTGGACTAGCTTCGAACTCAACAGCTCCCAAGCAACCAAAGCACCCCTCTCCTTCCCCCTTTGCTCGAATCTTCGATTCCCTTAGGGTTTGAGTGAAAGGAGAGTGGATTTAGTAAGAGCATCACGTTGGAAAGCTTGAGCACTTGATTTCTTCGTCAAGCTGAGTGATTTTGCGTCTATTACTCTTGGGGCTTTGCCCCTAGCCGGCTAGGCGTTGCCCTAGAGCTTCCATCTTATGGAAGATCCTTGGGAAGTTTGTATTACCCTTCGATTTCTTAGTGGAAAGCTCAAGTGACCTTTGTGGTCGCTTTGAGAGAGGCAAGGAGGTGGAAAAGACTCCGACCTTGGTGGTCACCTCAACAACGAGGACGTAGGAGCTCCTTAGTGGGATTGCCGAACCTCGGGATAAATCCTTGTGTCCAGTGTGCTTGTTGTTGTGATTGCTAGAGATTATTTGTATATGTTTGTCTCTTTCCCTCCCAAACTTGCATTTTAGGGTTTGGACTCGATCTACGGTTTGGAGGCATTACGACGTCAAGGAGTGACCTAACATCTTCACCAAACCACTAGGAAGTGAGGTTGTAAGTTTATTTATCCGCAAAGTTAAATTTGGCACTGCTTTTGTAGTTCACGTAGGCGTCGAAACTGCTGACGTTTGCGCCGGAACTTCTGACAACGTCGGAAGTTCTGACAACGTCGGAAGTTTCGACCCAAACGTCGGGACTTCCAACTGTGACTGACAGAATTGAACTTAGCATTTGCAGTAAATTTTTAGATACGCCTATTCATCCCCCTCTAGGCATTGTTAGATCCTTTCAATTGGTATCAGAGCAAGGTCTTCTCTTTGCGTTTCACCACGTGAGAAGAAACAATGTCGAAGTCCGAAAAGATGCAAGCCGTTGCCGCCGAGATGGCCAAGAAAATAGCCGAAGAGTTGATGAGTACTCAAGCCAAGCTCTTTCAAGATGAAATGAAAAAGATGCAAGACGAGATGAGCAAGTTGAAGGAAGAATTGAGCAAGAAGGTTGATGATGCAATAAGTGGCAAGAATGATACTAGTGACAAGAATGAAGCAAACAAAGATGCCGCTAGTGATATTGAAGCCGGTGAGCATGCTCATGGAAAAGGAATATATTCACACATGAGTTTTGACTATGGACAAATCATGAAAGGTTCAACACTACATACTCCATCCGTCAACATTGACAAGCCACCTCACTTTGATGGAACAAGATACACCGATTGGTCTTACAAGATGAAGATGCATCTCATAGCCGCAAGACTTTGGGAAGTTGTGGATGTTGGTGTGATGATTCCTACCGATGAAGATAGAGAGATAACTCTGGAAGAAGTGCACAACCTCCATCAAAATGCACAAGCCGTAGCATTGCTTGTGTCAAGTCTAGCTCCGGATGAGTTTAGAAAAGTGAATGGAATGGAAAGTGCAAAGCAAATTTGGGATACTTTGAAAGTATCATTTGAAGGAGATAAGAGTGTGAGGAAAGGCAACATTGAGTTACTTCATGGTGAATTAGAAAGATTTATATTCTTGCAAAATGAAACAACACAATCCATGTTTGGTAGGCTCATGGCATTGGTAAATCACATAAGAGCCCTTGGAAGTATCGAATGGGATGACAACAAGGTTGCTAGAAAGATGTTGAGAACCTATAGAGCCAAGAATAACATGCTAGCGTCCGTGATCATGGAAATGCCCGGTTATGATAAGATGACACCTCAAGAAGTTCTTTCAAAGCTCAAGCATCATGAGTGTCTAGATGAAGATGCAATCAATGCTCACAATCAAAATCCTAATGCAATGGGATTCAACAAGAGTGCAGCCCTTAAAGCAACTCAACAACATGAAGGTCAAGGTTCAAGTCAAGAAAATAAGAAGAAAGTGAAGGATGATTCCTCAAGTGGAGAAGAAGATTCCGATGCGGAGGTTGCCTTTGTGATTAGAAATCTTAGAAAGTTTATGAAGAAGAAAAGCAACCGCAAGACCTATGGTGATGGTAAGAGAAGGTTCAAAAAGAGGTTTTGCTATGGATGTGGTCAAATTGGTCACTTCATAGCCGATTGTCCTAATGAGAAAAAGAAGCACAAGTATGACAAGGATGAAGACAAGAAGAACAAAGGCAAGAAGAGAGGTGAAGCTCATCTTGGGGAAGAATGGGAGTCAAGTGATAGTAACTCAAGTGATTATGAGAAAAAGAAGAAGGGAGCCGCAAACATCGCTATCCACCACTCTTCTTCACCGATCATGATCTTCCCCGACTCAACTTCACCGCCAAGACTCTTCTCCAACATATCTTCATCACCGAGGCTCTTCTCCAACCTCACCGACAACGACTACTACACCCCAACTTGTCTCATGGCAAAAGGGGAAAAGGTACATACTACACCCGTTTCATCTAGTGATGAGGATGATAGTTGCGATGACAACATAGAAGAAATTGAAGCAACCATGATTAAAAAATTTGGTAAAAAGGCCTTCACTAAAATAAAAATGCTAATGAAGAAATTAGAGAAGAGGGATAGATGCTTAGAGTTGCAAGGAGATATAATTACCCAAGAGAAAGAGAAAAACCTTGCACTTGAAACATCTATCGCCGAGGAAAAGATGAAGGTTGAGAAGTTAACCGTTGAATTGTCTTTAGCCAATGACTCAATTGGGAAATTGACTAAGGAACATTCCTCGGTTAATGATCAAATAGCTAGCCTTAAAAATGAAAAGAGTATAGCTCAAGAAAGCCTCACATGCTTGGAAGAAAAATATCGAAATCTTGAGCTAAACTATAGTACCCTTTGGGCTAGCACTTCAACTTCTCCTAAGGCAACCGAAGACTCTAATGTCTCCACTAGTGATGGTTGTAAAAGATGCTATAAAATTGATGTGAATGCATATACAACTAACCTCGTTGAGTTAGAGAAGAAAGACAAGGAAATTCATAGGTTGAAGATAATATTGAAGAATGGGTGCAAGTGTCAAGAGCAATCAAACAAGACTATATACAAGTCATCGAGGCACCCATCAATCAAGGAAGGCATTGGCTACAATAGGTATGATGGAAAGGCAAATGGAAGGAACATGATCAATGGTGTGCCTTGTGTGAAGTTCAACAAGGGCGTTGCTCTTGATGAGCTAATATGCAAGGCCAACAACAAGGTCTACATTCCAAAGATCCAACCTACAAATACCAAGACAATCAAGACAAAGCAATCCAATGTCCCCAAGCCACAAGCACCACTTCCACGGTGCTATGCTAGTGACTATATGTGTTGTTGGGGTAAGGATGGCAAGATTGTGGTTAAGTATGTTGGTGCCCAAAAGAGAAAGGAAATTATGAGGAGTGTTTGGG